CAGAGTTGGCTCCAATTTTCAGGGAACATGTCAACATGATTTATGATGAGGTAAAGAAAGTTCGACGTTGCTGGCATAACATACTTGTAAGTTATTGGCGAAAAGCGGCATGGGCAGGTTCTGCGCCCGGTCGCCCAACGGTTGGTTAAGATAAAAAGTTTAAAAATCGATCAGATTTTTTTTTAGAAATCGAGGTTTAGGTGACGTCATGATTTATGAATTTTTGACCGAGAATGGCATGCGTCTAAAAAAAAAATCACAGAATAGACACACACACATGGCGATCTCCGACTTTTGATAAGTGTTCTATATTTTCCAGAGTTTTCAGATGAAACTGGGCAATTTGTCTCTTTTACCTAATGGTTATGATGCATATATTTGTTAACTTGAACTTTTTTTAACCAAAAACGTAATCGATGATAAACTGTTCCAGTTCTTTGCCAAAAGCAACCGCATGCCATAAAACACATGTCATATGCCGCGAATACCAACTTCGATTTTTTGGGATGTCTTATTAGCTGGCTAACCTGACCTTTGCCGTTTTTCCGGACCTTCGCAGCGCCGCCGTTTTTTGGTACACCTGTTCATGCATCTTTTCCACACATGTGAAAATTATAGACCCGGGTCGTTCAAGGTCGGGTCACCAGGTCACGTCAAGTGACCATACCTCAGAAAAGTTCAATGGCTCGCTATAGCTACACCGACTGAAGGGTCACTTTGAAACTTTCAGAAATTGATAAGAATACCAGTGTGTATAAACAGCATCTTTCGGATTTTTTATGTCTGTGACCTAAGGTCAGGTCAATTATGCGACCTTTCCATTATAAGTCAATGGGAGAAAATTAAAATGGGCTTCTTTTGGACGGATGTCGTTCAAAACTCTCTCAAACACTGGTTCATAGGTAAACATGACACACTGAATCGGAATAATGCACCTGTGACTTCTCTTTGTGCCCCTGAGGTCATCTCAGGTCATGAACGGTCACCAGCAGTTTTTTTTTGCTATAACTTTTGTTAGAGACGTGCCAGAGAGATGAAAACACGTCAGTTGTATTCAGCTTGACGATACGGATCGACTGATATGCAACATGACCCTTTCCGGTCAGGTCATGACTTTGACCTTAGGCCAAATTTTCAAAATAACCTTTCGAGGTCAACGTATAGTTCATTCGACGCGTCTCGACGAGAGGAACACGATGCTGGCAAAATTAATATGGCTCTCTTGAGTCAAAAGTTAGGTATTACCGAAATATATTGTTCGTTAAAACGGCTATGTTTGAAGTTTTTGCCCTCTGGAGGCTAAACCGTTGACCTGAGGCCAAATCTTAGAACAACACTCAGAAAGGTCTGTAAAAGGGCTGTGAAATGCCCTTTTCCGCGACGCTGCAACTCTATTTTTCAATCAGGTCATCGCTGAGGTCACTGGAGGTCACCAAAGGTAAAATCATCACGAAATTTGGTTCCCGTTTTGGACAACTTCTTACAAATCGGCGCATAAGTCGGGAAATAATAGAGCTACAGCGCTGCGGAAAAGCGCATTCGATAGCTCTTCTAACCCTCGCCCGTATTGGTGTTTTTCCAGCTGCGAACGTATAAGGGGGGGTCCGTTGGACCCCCCTTGCCGTTTCGCCCCTGATCGAGCTAGAGCTTCGCGGAAAAAACGAGCGTGTTGCCCGTGACAAGAGGAAGCCGATGATACCTAATTTTAAGGTCCTAGGTCATTGGTTGACCTTGCAGGTCAGGTCAATGACCCTAAAGTCGGGAAAATCGGGACCTGTTAGAACGTCGTAAAGTGTGGCTGCTATGGGGTTTTTCGGGGCGCTGATCACGAATATCATGTTAGTTTTGATCACAGATGATGTATTTATGCATTTAGTCCAGGTCGGGTCAGGTCAGGTCAGGTCAACCAGTAGGGGTCCTGCCGGGCATTCCTAGTAGGTGTCAACCGCCTCTGACAGCTTCGTAACATGCTACGAAGGCACCAAAACTACTTCGTAAATGTTCATATGGTTGCTAAATTCGAATTCAGCTCCAAAAACTGGCCTAGAAACATGTAAAACTCGAAAAAGTGAACCGAGGTCACCAAAGGTCAATGACCTGACCTGACCTTCAGGTGACCTTGGCACCAACCGTAATGCATGGGGGCAACATCATATCACATGTTTCAACGCTTGAAACCACGAAAAGACTGCAAACGCGCGGCTAATGCCGAATGCGAGCCGACATACGCCAAATCGCGATTCCGGCCAAATATGGTCTCGAAAAGTAGGTCACAGGTCAAAGTTCATTAGGGTCAGGGTCATGAAATTTTCAGGGTAGGTGTAAAATTGATTAACGCGAGGGTACTGAAAGTTTCGTCGCGAAAAACCATGGGGGGGGTCCGTTCGACCCCCCCCCCTATACGGGCGAGGGTTAAAGTGCTTTCTGAATATTGTTCTTAGATTTGACCGTAGGTCAACGGTTTAGTCTCCACAGAGCAAAAACTCTAAAGTTGACTTCTTTAGGATTTTCTTTAATAATTTTTGACATCAACCTTGTTTTGTGTTGACTTTACGGGCGTCGCGTTTCTCTCGTCGAGACGCATCGAATGAACTATACGTTATCCTGAAAAGGTCGACTTAAAAATTTGACCTCAGGCATTTAATGGTCACAGAAAAGGTCATGTTGCTTATCACTATCAGTCGATTCGTATCATTGAGTTGAACGGTGTTTTCAGCGATCTGGCATCTTTCTATCTAAGGTCGTTGTAAAAAAAACTGCTGGAGACGTTTCATGACCTGCGATGACCTCAGGGGCAAAAAGGGGTCAAGGATGTAATTTTCCGATTCAGTATGACATGTTTATCTGTATCCATATTCCATATGCTTGAGTGTGTTTTCTTTCAAAAGAAGAGCATTTAAATTTATCCCACAGACATGGATACCTAATGGGGAAGTCGCAAAATTGGTACTTTTGCCACTAAAATCAAAATTCCAAGATATACAAATTGTTAGTGCTTTTTCCCTCATGCAACAGTCCGAGTTTCAAACTTCTATAGCATACGAATTGTAGAAACGACAGAATCACATATAGTTATTTTAGAGGCATGCATAGGCGGCGGAACGGGCTGGGCACCGTGCCCCCCTTTGAATTTGGCATTTTAACATAAGCCCTATGGGCGTTGCATGGAAAGAATGGGACCAAAAGTCGGCAGTGCCCCCCCCCCCCCTTAATTGAATGTGTTCCGCCGCTACTGGAGGCATGGCCACTTTCCTTGAGCTTGTGACCTGACCTTATGTGACCTGAGGTCAAACATTTCACACACGATGCGACATTGATGTATCATAAGCTATACCAAGTTTTGCGGCGCTGCGCGCTGCGGTTTTCTTTACACGCGCAAAAAACCTGGCTGGTGTGGCCGAAAACGCCCCCCCCCCCCCACACACACACACCGGGGCTAAAATACTCATCCGTAGTGTCTCGTCATTCTCTTTCGTTTGCCGCATCGCACGACGACAGACTTTCAACGCCCCCTCCCCCTCCCCCCCCCTTCCCCTGAGGGACATGGCCCTTGGAAGCCAGGCTGGAAGCTGTCCTTCCCGTTTGCCTGGATGGTTGCCGTCAAGAAGGATTTTAGAGAAGAACTGGTTAGTCCTGACGCCTGAGTATAAAAACGACCGATAATATTACTTAGAGCGTCTCATGATTACAATAAGAGAGCGACGTCTCGGTCACCCTGTGTCCCTCCAGCATTGTCAAGAAGTGGTGAGGCTCTACTGATGGCGTAGATGCAAATAGGGGATCGAGAGGGTCTCGGAAGCAACGGTAGATAAGTTCTCATTGGATTTATTGATTTCTTCCGTAGCAGTTCATTCTCCTTTGGGTTGGCCCTTTTGGGCTGTGGGGGCGTTGACTTCTCGTCTACGTATCCACCAGAGAGGGATGGCGTAAACGCTACCGCGGAACAGTTCGCCGGGGTACCTACATACTACACCTTACGTCGTCCGTAAAAACCGACCGAATAATACGGTGCGCTGGCGCCATCTACAACAGGGAGGATCGGGGCGGACAGAGAGCCGTAGAGCCATCTACAAGTGTCAGAAACAGACTAAGTGGTAAAGCACAGTCGAGAGGTTAGAAACGGCCTGAGAGTGGAATAACCACATACTGTCGAAAGAAACGGGCTGACAGTGGTAGAGCCATGGATACAGTCGAGAGAAGCGGGCTGGGAACGGCAGAGCCGTCTCCGGTCAAGAGGAGGGACAAACCAAAAGGGGTAGATTCGCCTACAGTCGGAAAGAACCGACTGAGACCCAGTGGTATAGAGGCATGTAAGTTTATACAATCGCATTGGATTCGGATGGACCAGGCGAGGTAATCAGTCTTTTTATCAGCAGGACATCCTCATCATTGAGCATACGCCATTTGTCTCCGTTCGGGCTGACAGCCACCCCCTGCCCCCACTCACTAAGGCAACCGGTGAACTGCCTGCCGCAGCCGCCTCATGCACGTGCATCACTTGGACTGCTATACCGCTTTCCTAACTAACTAGGCTATACAGTAGGTACACACCTCTCTACGTCTAGACTTTTTGTCGGCCCACTGTAAAGTGAGTTTTTGATTCACTTACTATGTCATTGCCTACTAGGAGCCCGAGCTCCTCAATCTCGCAGCTCTAACCAGTGCCACAAGTGTGTGGCATAAACGGTGTTAAATCTGGCTGCTCTGACGCGTCATCCGCTGCCTCCCCATCGGCATTCGCTGCACGCCGGCGTCACATTCGACCTCGGCGTCCCGCCCATCGCTGGGACGCTGCCAAATCTGGCGACTCTTCCCACCCAGCTGCCAGATCTAAAGACTTTTCCACAAAGGTATCGATCTTGCCAGGTGGGGTCCAAATGAGGTCGGTCGACTACCGGGCAGAATTTACACTCTGATAAAGCATCCGTTCGTCAGAACTGGGCTCGGCAAACAGCAATCGATAAGCCGTGGTCGTTCTAGTGACGCCCAGGGGCCGTCGTGCTCGCCACCACTATGGGGATGGGATGGGGTCGCCGACCGTCGCCGTGGGGTCCGGCTAGACCTGCCTGACTGGGCCGGCGCAGTCGGTTGGCCACGCTGCCACGGTGGAGTGGGGGTCGGCAGGAGTTGTCACTGAGTGTGGGGAGTGATAGGAGTGTGCAGAGCGGGTATCTCCCGCAGATGGTTTGACAGGGGTGTGGTTGGGTCGGGGAGGGGCGGTATCGACTACCGGTGCTGGTACAGTCTCTGACGCTGATACCAGTGGCGGCTGGAGCGGCGTACGGTCTCTGGAAACGGGCTGCAGCTCGATTGGTGAGTAACGGGTGAGGGATGAGGGAGGGGCTAGAGCTGGATGGCTGAGATTCAGATAACGGTGTCAAATGGGAGAGGTTTGTAGGAGGGTTGATGTCAAATATTGTCAGTCGAGACTGAAAAAGGTTGATCTGAGTTCTGAGAGCAGAGAGCTGCAGTGAGGATTGATATCAGAACGGATGTCGAGGCTCCTGAAGATAAGCGTGGAATGGAGACTGGAGAGATGGGCGGAGGAATTGGGGAGGTCGTTGCGACTCGCGAATCGCGATATTCAAGAATAATCTGTCACAGGAGGGACAACAAATGGGCCAATTTTAGTAGAAATTGCCAGAAACGAAGCCATAAACGACTGAACGTCATGCGACAATTGCTGAAGGTTGATGCAAGCTGGCAATGCTTAGACTAAAGCATGTGACTCTCCTCACTTGAAGCAGTTTCGTAAAAAGAGACGTGGGCGAGGAAATGGCGGGGTCTCGTCCACATGCTGTAGATAAATGGGCGGCTAACCCACGCCATCGATTTCTCCAGTCAAGGTGAAAATGGTCGCCACCTGTGTCCTGTTACGTCACTTTAGCGGGCTTCCCGAATCAATGCAATCTTTTCCGAGCAGTTCCTACCGCACCCCACCTCTCCCCTCCCCAACGAAGTCGATACAGACCATCGAGGCTGGTCCAGCGTGCTAGCTGCTGTGTCATAAATTTTTTAGACGAGACCCGGGGCATACGACGGTCGGTGTGCAAATTGAGGAAATCAGCGCAAGGATTGGGAAGGTAAGTGATGAGGACCGAGGGAGGACGGTGTGAGGTCCGAGTGGGGACAATGGGAGGACTGAGTGAGGACGATTTGAGGACCGAGGGAGTACCGAGGGAGGACGGTGTGAGGACCGAGGGAGGACGGTGCGAGGACCAAAGGGAGGATCGAGGGAGGAAGATTGGACGACGGTAGGAGGACAATTGGGAGGACTGTATGTGGACCGAGCGTGGGGACCGGGGAGGATGTTGGAATGACGATGGGAGGACCGAAGGAGGGCGATGGGAGAACCGGAGATTGGGATAAGGACTGAGGCAAAGTGCAAACACGGGCATGGCAGAGAAGTAAATAGCTGAGGACCGATCCCGAGCATCGAGTATGGACGAGTACAAATTATCTACGACTGAATAAAATCGGCTCGTGAAATCGGCTGAGCCAGAGGTATACGGTTCGTCACAAGGGTTAAAATGACCCTCCACGAATTGTTCGTTTGTTCGTTGGAACTTCCGGATATGTATTTACATATCAGCAATCGTATCCTATAGGATTTAATACAATGGATTTGATACAACCGAATAGATTAAAGGTGCATGTCATACATGATACAATTAATTACGAAGATATATAAACCAATAAATACATATTAAAAGCTCTAACGATTCAACGTACGAACGCACTTGGTAGTGCAGTTCGAACCCTACAATATGTTTTAAGGCGATGGATTGGAAGCATTGCAGTGTTTTATTAATGATATGATAATAATGTGTTCGAAGCGCGCAGTTATTACATTTTTAAAATCGCTGTAATGGAGAAAAGGGACACATTTTAGTGACTTTACCAGACGAAATGGGCATATAACATGCTAGTCATAAGCAAACCGTCTTGTAAGGACGTTTCTAAGCCCAGTCAACATGTTGACTGGATTAGCTGTTGATGGGTCACGTTGACAGAGGTTAACTCGCTGCAGTGATGAGTGAGCTAACCTCTCGAAATAACTCGCTGACCTCTGATCACTTTCTGGGCGCGCTGATCGCTGGAAACTGCTCAGGGCTGACGCTTGGCGCTTCTCCAATGGTCTACCGGTGTGTAAGGACGGTATTCTGTTCCACTAACGCCGCCCTCTCTGTGTCAACAGGTGAAGGTGGCGTGGTGTGACGTCACACGGTCATGAGCCCTGTGACGTCACCGTCCGGACGTCACGCGGTGTCAGGTGAGCCCGAGGGTCAGGTGAGGCCGAGTGAGGGTCAGGTGAACGTGATAGTCGGGTCATAAGGTGAGGTCGAATGATGTGAAGTTAAGTCAGGCTGGCTTGATTGCAAGCTGAACATTTTTGTCTTGCACCCTTCATACTGTATCGACGTGCCTATTGCTCAATAAAATTGTTTTATTTTATTATAAATTAAACTATGAAAGACAAAAGTACGTACTTTTAGCAAGAGGGCGACCATCAGAACACCAAACCGAGTGGAAATTTGCCTTTCATCACAACACATGTGCATCACCACGACAATATGATAAGCAGGACACGATAAGCGCGACTAAAAATACTCTGTTGATCTACTGCTCTATGCACTGTATGCATCCGCTGCCGTCCACAGCTCAGTGACCGCGTAGTCGGCCGTCCACTGCCGAATCTTAGTTGACGTGCTTCGTGGTCAGACTTGTTTACATGTCACCGAAGCTTGGAATGGCACGTAGCATTTAGCGTAATATATGTTTGCACTTTGCATTTCAGCGTGGTCGTTACTACAACCCAGTGTTTATGCCGCATGCAAGGAAGATCATCGTGTATGACCTTTAGTTTTACCACTCCGTCCCTCCTCCGCCCCCCCCCCCTCAAGCGCGCCGGCTTGGCTTTGGGACCGCAACAGACGGCGGGGTCAAGGTCACTGGCGCTAGGGCGGCGGATTTGCGGCGCGCCCTAACATTCACGGTAGGCAGACAACTGAACCAGTGACAACTGAACCAGGGACAACTGAACCAGTAAAACTGAACCAGGGACAACTGAACCAGTGACAACTGAGCCAGTGACAACTGAACCAGCGACAACTGAACCAGTGACAACTGAACCAGCGACAACTGAACCAGTGACAACTGAACCAGTGACAACTGAACCAGGGACAACTGAACCAGTAAAACTGAACCAGGGACAACTGAACCAGTGGACAACTGAGCCAGTGACAACTGAACCAGCGACAACTGAACCAGTGACAACTGAACCAGCGACAACTGAACCAGTGACAACTGAACCAGTGACAACTGAACCAGGGACAACTGAACCAGTGACAACTGAACCAGTGGACAACTGAACCAGTGACAACTGAACCATTGACAACTGAGTCAGTGACAACTGAACCAGTATGACAACTGAACCAGTGACAACTGAACCAGTGACAACTGAACCAGTGGACAAGTGAACCAGCGGACAACTGAACCAGCGGACAACTGAACCAGTTGACAACTAATGTCGTACTGCGCGCGCTGTATAGGTATAAGGTAGCGCGTGGCTGGACGGACTGTCTGTGCCAATCTGCCGGTCTGCCAATTGATCTGTGTCCGATCTATTAGAGTGTCCGTCCGAGAGCCGTACGACGGCTGACAGGGCTGACAGCTAGCCTGGTGGTCGCGAACTGGTGTGGCAAGGCAACCTTTACGCCCACCTGGGACGCCCGAATAGTTAGCAACGTATAAATGATATTCACTTTGATGGCCTAACTCGGGACAGACAGGGCACGCAACGTGGGCTTGGCAGAGTTCAGCTCGCCTGGGCCCAGAGGAATCTCCGGTATATAAATGGATTCACTGCTCGGGCTTACATCGGGCTTACGCCAAACGTCGCACAACTAGGGCTAAACAACGGCTGTCCTGAGCTCGCCGAGAGGCCCAGAGGACATACCTCCGGCAGAGCATGGGCTTTAGTCGGCGTTTTTGTGTCACACGCCGACTTTAGTCTTTAGCCCAAGCGCTAGCCGACTTTAGTCCAAGCGCTAGCCGACTAGCCCGACTAAAAATATCGGGCAAGCCGCAGTTCAGCCTGCTTGGGCCCGGAGTAAAATTGCTTGCTGGGCTACTGGTTAGTGGTTCAGTTGTCACTGGTTCAGTTGTCACTGGTTCAGTTGTCACTGGTTCAGTTGTCCACTGGTTCAGTTGTCACTGGTTCAGTAATCACTGGTTCAGTTGTCACTGGTTCAGTTGTCACTGGTTCAGTTGTCATACTGGTTCACTTGTCACTGGCTCAGTTGTCACTGGTTCAGCTGTCACTGGTTCAGTTGTCACTGGTTCAGTTGTCACTGGTTCAGTTGTCACTGGTTCAGTTGTCACTGGTTCAGTTGTCTACTGGTTCAGTTGTCCACTGGTTCAGTTGTCCACTGGTTCAGTTGTCACTGGTTCAGTTGTCCCTGGTTCAGCTGTCACTGGTTCAGTTGTCCCTGGTTCAGCTGTCACTGGTTCAGTTGTCCCTGGTTCAGTTGTCACTGGTTCAGTTGTCCTGGTTCAGTTGTCACTGGTTCAGTTGTCATGGAACCAACATTCACAGTTCCTCACAAATCTCGTAGCGATTGGCTTGCCTACTGCCTAGTGCCTACTGATCAGCAGGTTAGATCTCAATACTTACGAGTCGATGCGTGCCACTGACGTCCATGTTCGGTGTTCCCCAGATGGTCTCTGTGACGTCACTAATCTGGAGGAAGTGCCGCCGGTACCGGAAGTCCCTGCTCGCGGCCGCCGTCCTCGCCGGTCTGCTGCTGCTGCAGAGCAGCGCCCTATGGAGCCAGCCGGCCACCGCCAGCGACATCTACTGGCTCACCGGTGCTGCCACCTACCGCCCGCCGGAATGCGACTGCTCTCGGCGCCTGCCGGATCCCAGCAACAGTCCCCTGGTTCGCTCGCACTGCGGCCCGGAGGCGGACGCTCGTGGGCCCGGTCAGAACGTCATCTCCTACAGCTTCTACGGCTCCAACTACACGGCCTACCTGCGCGGCGCGGCGATGAACGCGAAGCGCGCCCGGCGCCTCTACCCCGGTTGGGTGATGCGGGTTTACTATCACGGCAGTCAGCGTGGTGGCCGCTGGGGCACCGAGTACTGCCGAGTTCGCTGCGCGTGAGTGGAGCCATAGAGACCTTATGATAGCTTAGTTAGTCGTCTTGTGATGGCTCATGAGTCATGAGCAGCTCATTTACCGTGAGACTGGGGAACACAACAAAATCAACTCATGGATAGGTGTAGGTACCTACAGGTTGAACGACATAACCGGCAAGTTAGGTAGGCGGCAGACTTGACAGTCTTCCTGGACAGACTGTCATATGCCTGGCCAGTGACAGCCACTTTTAGGTTGGCATGATTCGAACTTATTTTATTTCCATTTATTTTCCACCTGATAGACGTTCTTTTTGCCAGAATTGCGCTCGGGTCCTTTTCCATTTTTAATGCAATTTTTGTATGGCTAGTTCATAAGAAGCGCAACGCATTGACTTCTCGTTATCCCCACCACTAAGGATGACTCTTGTTTCTGTGACGTCACAGGTACGATCATGTGGACTTTTGTGACGTCAGCCGTCTGGAGGGGTTCGGTGAGCTGGGTCGGCAGCGTGGCTCCATTTGGCGGTTCCTGGTGATGGATGACCCCACCGTGCGGCGATACATCGTCCGCGACCTCGACTCTCTGATCACGGAGGTGAGTCGTTTTCAGTGGCCAACAGTGGCAGAGCGTAGGCTTTAGGTCAGCTTGTTGCTTTTGTTAAATTGTATCATTTCTGTCATAATTTTGGTATGCGCGTTCTGGTGTTCTGAGCAGCTTCAGCCCAAATTTCAACCGATGGCCTACGTTACTGACTTTATTTTGCGCCGGCACTATCGCCCGACCAGCTCACCTAGGAGCCTTCCACAAATACAGCTCCTTAATTTCCTTGGCCTTAGCAAAAAAATATATATTATACTATGACGTTTCAATATAACATGTGTGTAGTGTATCTCTAGTCCTCGACCACAGACCTAATACTCCCCAGTGGCCAGTGACTCAGCAAGTTTCACCCGTTCCGTCGTTTCCATCCTTAGGACAGTCAACTCCTTATCCTCCACGCTACGACCCCTGATCCAGGCTGGACAGGCTGAGGCAACTTAAGCTCATGCGGACTGCTCCCATTGGAGCGCAGCGCAGCTCATAAGGGAGCACACCCGTTGCCGGGTGCAGTGAGTGGCTGAGTGCTTGGAGGGGGGGGGGGGCTGGGCTGTCTTTTGGCAGTCTTTTGTCCAATTGGATGGGCTTAGCCCCGGCGACTCACTAGGGTGCCTGCTCAGACCAATGTCTCCCCCTAATTCCTATTATCGTCATCCCGGCTCTGCAATGTTCTTAATGGACCGAAAGGGCTTAACCCAACAAAACAAGCAAAAACAAACAAACAACGTCAATGTGTCATGCTACCCAGAGTACTGACCCATACTGACACCCTGTCCATTTACAGCGGGAGCGAGCGGCCGTCCAGGAGTGGCTGGACTCCAACAAAACGTTCCACGTGATGCGCGACAGTCCGCACCACGGCAGCGCCATCTTGGCCGGGATGTGGGGCGGCGACAACGCGCGCGCCGCCCTCTACCGTCCGCTGATTCAGCAGCTGATTCGACCCAGCTGGCCAGCCGTCCGCATCCGACTGCGCGTGCTCGTCACATTCTCAGACGAACGGGTAGGTATGTCTGTGAGGCGCCTCAGGGAGATGACAGTTACATCGTGTCAGCTGTCTGAGATAACGTGTTTCATGCGTTAACTGACCTTGCTTTGCTTCTGAGCAACGTTTCGGCATTGTCCCGTGATTATTCCTTGAATGAAGCATTTCATTTTAGTCTGTATTTGGAGCCATTTATGAGGTATCGTGTCGCAAATTTGGTCCACGTAGAGCCCTCATTTCATTTTGTGACCGTTTCAGTTCTTGACTCATTTTGCGGGACATCGCGTTTCAGTTCTTGGACCAGGTGCGTGCTGCTCACGTTCGTCCTCTGGCCGGATATGACCATGGTTTTCAGTTCTGGTACTATGATGCGCCCCCGTGTTTCAGTTCTGGGACCAAGTGCTGCTCGAGTTCGTGCTCTGGCCAGAGATGTCTCTGGGTTCTGGGACTGTGATACGCCCCCTGTGTTTCAGTTCTGGGACCAAGTGCTGCTCGAGTTCGTGCTCTGGCCAGAGTGTGTTTCAGTTCTCAGACCGTTTTACACCCCCTATGTTTCAGTTCTGGGACCAGGTGCTGCTCGAGTTCGTGCTCTGGCCAGAGTGTGTTTCAGTTCTCAGACCGTTTTACACCCCCCTATGTTTCAGTTCTGGGACCAGGTGCTGCTCGAGTTCGTGCTCTGGCCGGGGATGTCTTTGGGTTCTGGGACTCTGATACGCCCCCGTGTTTCAGTTCTGGGACTGTGATACGCCCCCGTGTTTCAGTTCTGGGACCAGGTGCTGCTCGAGTTCGTCCTCTGGCCGGAGATGTCTCTCCGCCGTGACGTCATGGTCCACGACAGCTACCACTGTCAGTCGGACCCACTTAGTCGGCCGTGGCCAACGCAGCGTAAAGACCGGGAGGACTTTGTCGGGTACGCCGAGCTGCGCTACTACGACAAACTGCCGGAGGAGTGTCCTCCCGCCTGCCGTCCTCCCGACCACCAGGACTGGCTCTGGTGCTGAGAGGAGTGTCCTCCCGCCTGCCGTCCTCCCGAGGACTGGCTCTGGTGCTGAGAGGAGTGTCCTCCCACCTGCCGGCCTCCCGACCACCAGGACTGGCTCTGGTGCTGAGAGGAGTGTCCTCCCGCCTGCCGTCCTCCCGACCACCAGGACTGGCTCTGGTGCTGAGAGGAGTGTCCTCCCGCCTGCCGCCCGCCCCAGCACTAGGACTGGCTCTGGTGCTGAGAGGACCTACGTGAGGAGCGTCCTCATGGTACTGTTCACCCTCAGGATCCATGACCCCTAGTGCTGAGCTGAGCTGAGCACTGACGCTTGGAAAAGGGACTGTGAGAAAGGGCTGACGCTGTGCGAAGGACAGGTCATAACACCGAGGTGTGAGGTGTTGAAAGACGTGCAAAGTACTGTGCGTGTGCAAAGTACTGGCTAGATTTGGAACAATATCGCTGAAAGGTACGCCAGCAATGGTGCTGAAAATCGGCTGTGGTGTCGGGAAACGAGTGATGCTATGCATAGTTTCCTAGTGCTGTTACAGGACAAGTGTGCGCGCTGTGACACCCCAAAAGGCAAGTAATATACGTTGTGGCCAGGCGATGATGGTCACGCGCACTATTAAAGAAAAAAGTATAAGTGAGGACAGGACAGGTGCTGCTAATTTAGACACTGGAAAAGTACTCAGTGACATACCTCTTGATTGTATGCTACCTCTGTCCTGATTTCCCACCGCTCTACGGAGCAGAAAAGGCTCATCTGCTAACATCTTCGCTGCCCTAAGAGCACCTGTTGTGAGGACTGCTGTACCTAAGTAGTCTTTATATGTGTGTGTGCATCTGATTGTGCCAGACTGTCTCTCAGACGGAGCTCCCCAGCGGAGTTTGTGCCGCTGTGATTGCTGCTTCACTAAGTCTATACTATGTATAATTGTCTAAGGCGTGTCGCACGCGTTGTCGCTTCTTGTGGCTCTGAGAGCACTCGATTGTTGGACAGGAAGGCTCCCACGTGATACTTTGATACACGACCAAAGGCCAAAGCCTTCCAAGTCGATAATTGCTGCTTGGTGTCAGAAGTTCAGGGATGCTTTTATAGCAGCATGCTGCTATAAAAGCAAACTGCTGCAGCAGTTTGATTTAAGCTTTTAATTTATGTTTCTGTTGAGATGCCATTTCGTGGAGTTGCGTTGCTGTAGAAAACCTCAATGCGTTCTAAGCATGATGAACCTGATTTATATATTACGGGTCATATGCTAACTTGGGCAGTATGCAAACTGCCCGGGCAGTATATTTGTATAAGATGATGTTTTCGGAGAGAAACAATACACATAGCGTCTCTCATTGGGTTCGATTAACTCGTTGAAAATCATTGGATTTTCCCGACCGACAGGAAGACATTGCTACAATACAACACGTTAACATCACACTGAAATATGGCGTCAACTGCCTACCAGAAATTTGTAAGATGAGTGAGTCGATAGATCACCATAATTATACCTGTGTGTTGCCTGATATTCAGATATTGCATACGTTTACTGACACTCCATTTCCATTGTATTTTTTTACGACATTGTTGCGATAGTTACAAGCTTAGAACGACATATCCATACACATTCAGACATTTTAAAGCGTCGATACAAGATACAAGTATCATTTCATACAACATGTCATCTTATATTTACCATCAAAAACACACATCATGCTTAAACATATTACCACTATTTACATCAAAAGGGTGGTCAAAGACTGCGCTCCATATGTACAGTACAATCACTAATTGTTAGAAAGACGTTTTGTACGCTGGCGTCTCAAGATTGCACAATGTATGCGAGGAAGCTCACAAACGTAATGGACACAAAAAGGTCACGCAAAAAAAACTTGTCACAATCAACCGAAAATAGTTGGGTAGGTATTCTCACAAATTTCAAAAATATAACGGTGTGAGGGATGCTGAACGAGTTATTGGTTTGTAATGCTAAAAGCTAGGCATTCTGCCGCGCACTATAGTAAGCCGTCAGAAGTCGTTTAACGACCGATTTACGTGAAAGAGTCATTGGCATATCAACGCTGGATCGCTTCGGAAACAAGCAGAATAAAACAAAATCTCAGCTACGTATTTTAAAAAAATTGCAGTCATCAATAGTCATTTTTATAGCTATAGTATCTACTTACAGAAGCATTAATGAACGATTTTGCAATGCTGCATGAAAATATGATTGATCAATGCTTCAAGTAGCTGCTTAGTTTAGGGACAATGAATGAGATCGATGACATTTGGTCGGGTCCCAATGTAGGGATCAAATCAGAACCAAGATTGTTATACGTTAGCGAAAGAGCCGTGGAGTCGTGAAATAGTTTTCGTCGATTTGATTGCTAGTGGATTGCATAATTTACCTGAATTACGGTTTCATTTGACCAGCAGTGCTCGATGACGATCGATGAGGTTGAGAACTGCATGTATGTTTTTCTTTTTTTTAAATATTGCGGTGTTTGAGCCATATGAATAGTGAAAGCTGCACTTCAAAATAGGTTTCAGGACTAAATCCTTACTCAGTTGGTAAGTGAATTGTTTTACAAAGAAAATCAAGGGTTATTCTTTCCAAATTAGCCAAAAGTTAGATAACAGTTAATAGTTATCTAGCATTTCTAGACCTTTCTGCCGAGTGACTAACGATTGATAAATATCTACTTACAACATTCCAGTTATCTACTCCATTGAATCTACGCCGTATACAGAAAACTCGCACATATATCAGAGCATATTTGGCCATCGCGTTCGATATTCAATGTCATTAGACATTGGCTATTCAGTGACAAGCGGCATGACAATGTGGCACTCAACTCATTTCCGGTTCATCGTCCTGAGACACGATATTTAACTAATGACACAACTACTCTTTGCGCACTACGCAGTCTTTTTCATCGTGAAACGGACTCCCGCAGTGGCTGTTCACCTTTCGCACCCAATGCTCAGGCATTGGTTTACCTCGGACGACTGAGATCACCCAGGAAACGCGCGGACTGAAGTCGGTGTCTTGCTGGAATCCTGTAACGAACCACTGTAGAAGACCTTTCTCTTGAAGGAACTCCGAGATCATCAAATGAGGAAGCTGGTTCTCTCGATGAGATGGAGTCCACGACCCCCGATCCGGTACTGTTTCACACTCCGCCCATCGCCCGGTCAGTTCTGTATCCCTCTTATGTCGGGTAATACCAACACACCCAGTCCTTTATCTCTGCCCTCTGGATCGGCCGTCACTCAGTACCGTCCTCGTCCTCCTGTGTCCAGAGACACTGACGAAGTGTCTAGTGAGTCGTCCTCCTGAGGAAGCTGAAACAGACACGACCAGTCAGTTTTCCGTGGTGCCACTTGCCACTCCCGCAGGCGACGGATAGTACAACACCACAGCAAAGGAGAGCGGAAATCATGGTACCGAGTGGAATCTGGCAAAATAAAAAGGTATTGAGCAATATCATTAGATGTTTCTTTGCGTCATCATCCGACACGTTGGCAACAATGACCATTGAGCTCCGAAGAGGTTAATTATCTCATCCGCACGACTCACGAGAGCTCTTCCGCATGTCAGCTTTGTTTGTCATTACTTTCATTTCGTTTCCAAGCTAGAAAAATACAGACCCAGTTAGCCAACATTAACAGTTGGTTAATGGGCTCGTTTGTTTGAAGGAATCAACATCGATTTTCGATTGCCAAGCACTGCCAATGGTAGGTTTCAAAATGAAACGCACACCACAACGGTGGTTCCACTCGAATCCGCTTCAAAGCTCAGTGAATTTTACTTGTCGGTATTTAATACCGATTGTGCTAATATTTAAAGTTATGATTTCGTCGAAGCCTACGGCATCATGGCATGAGATCGCGATAACAAAGCACAGCACTTGAACGATCATGTGTTACACGAACTAAATAAAAAGCATTCAACTGTCGAAAGCACTGACGCCTCCTTAACTCTCTAACATAGCCGCATTCGTGCAGACAATGCAGATATTCGTGAAGACATCCGTCTAAAATAAAAAACATGTTCTGATTCTACTCACTTTTAACAAGTCTTTGTATTCAGCTCCACACTGCATATGCATTAGTTATTCAAGGATATTTCCTTCATCTTTCCGCCATTCCCTGACATCCCGTCCCTGATAGTCCCATTCGCCCTGGACCACTTACCTGTTGTGACCTGTACTCGCGCCCCTGACGCTGCTGCGCCTTCAGCCGGGTCACCACGGACTCCGGCAGGCCGTACGTGCAGGTGGAGAAGCTGCTGTGCACCGAACTGCCGCTCAGTCGCCGCGGGTCTGCAACAACGCGGTCAACTAGGCTCAAACACAGGTGTGAGGGGTATTGATGGGAAAGGGCACTCTCGAACCGGTCACATCTACACTGCTGAGGCTCGTTCACGCCGCGGGCTAAATAAAAACGAGACACAGCAGACTCACGAATCACCAGCGGTGAAACAGCTGTTCCAGGCTCGTCCTGCCTAAATAGTAAAAACGGGGTACAGACAAAACACGAGGCTATTCAAAGGTGCAATTCAGAACTGCAATATTCAGATTGTTTGTTATGCTAGTTGTTTAGTGTTCTACATGTGTTATCAGCAGGGATGCGGAGCCGTGGAAATTTCAGACGGCTCCGGAGAAAAAATATCGGCTCCGGATCCGGCTCCGGCTCCGGGTGAAATATCATGGCGGCTCCGGCTCCGGCTCCGGCTCCGGTTCCGAGTAAAATGGTCCGGCTCCGGCGCCTCCGGCTCCGGCTCCGGCTCCAATACTCAGTACATCCCCTATGCAATTAAATACGGGTGGAAGAAAAAAAGACGATGGGATTGGTGCACGTTGCTTCTGTATTTGCATAACAAGGCTATTTTCATATTTTAATAACTCATGTTTTACTGCCTTGAACTGTCAAACCGAACTATGTCAATATTTTTTTCCTCTTCAAAAAAAGGAGCCGGAGTCGCCCCCTTTTTTGACGGCTCCGGCTCCGGCTCCGGGCTATATTGTTTCACAGCTCCGGCTCCGGGCAAAATATGCCTGTTCCGGCGGCTCCGGCTCCAGCTCCGGCTCCGGTTCGGCACCCCTGGTTATCAGTCATCATTGCAAATGTTCTTTGTAGCTGGTATGTTGATAGGATATCAACCACGGTTCTGTAATCTGTACCTATTCTGTATTCTGTACCTACCTATTCTGTATTCTGTATTTCTCATCACCGTCTACAGCTCATGCCCAATTAAAGACGGAGTCAAGTAAAACTCGCACAATCACACAACAATCACACATACATAAATACAGCGCCAAATTAATCAAAAATAGATTTGGGTGTCACAGCGGACTCGAGCACACAAATGAGCGAGCCCCATTATTAAAAGCATTTTCCCTACTTAATAGGTCAGCGGTAGGCTGCCCGGCACATAGGCTGTTGACAAGTCTGGGAACGACAAAACGACTGTTATTTTTTACCAATGCTATGTGATTGCATGTTAACATTTACCTCGACTGATAACAATGTTTGTTCGTCGACTACTCCACGAGCTGTTGTTCTGGGTCGAACAAAGGAGAGATTGATTATATGGCAGTAAACCTCAACACCGCTAGCTGCCCCCCCCCCCCCCCCCCCAACAGTCGACTATATGACACAGGAGAAACACATCCAATTTCAGAAATAGATTGGGCTGTTGTATACCATGTTATTTTACTGTCCAGTGACCGCGTTTATTTAGGTTTCAATACAATGCAATGCGTAGATGGTTATACGAGTATTTGTAGATGGATCATTCTCGTGCGTCCAAAATACGAAAAAGCAGTATGACATTGATACATAAACGGTGTTTGCCATGATCTCCACAAATGCAGAAATGGTATAGAAAATAAAATTAAATGAAGCCCAGGTTGTTTTATTTATTGCTTCGTTAAGAAATTTAATTATATATGGATGCAGTTATGTCGTTAGGCAAAGGCGGCGGAACGAAGAGGGCACCGGGGCACCGTACTCCCCTTGATTTTGTCATTTTAACATTAACCCTTGGTGTTACATGGAAAGAATGGGACCACAAGCCGGCAGTGCCCCCCCCCCCTTAATTTAAGGTGTTGCGCCGCTACCGTCTGTAGGGGATACGAAAAGCTAGCGACACTTACGGACGCTTGTTTTTCCAGTTTTTCTTCGATGTGACGTAGACTTGTGTAGAACTTTGGCGACGAACAACCTTTGCGTAGTATTTTTGCCGGGAACATGAAACTTCTAAATCTTTATTGACTGAAATTGTAAATCTAACATCAAGTAAAAGTTATAATTTAGTACCTTATCCCTAAAGCGAGATGGTTAAAAATGG